ACCTTAAAGGACTATCCAACCTTTCACAGTGTTTCCTCTTTTTCTAAGGCCACTTCAAAAACCTGCGTCCCCAGACGGTCCGCTTAGAGTATTCACAAAATTTGTGCATGTGCCTGTATTCATGACAGGACTACCACCATGGCCGATTGGTAGTTTTATTTTTCTCAAAGGAAAATAAATCTCCTGACAGAAGTTTGGGGCGGTTCCACAAATGGTAGGGGAGGGGGGAAAGTGATGGCAGCAAAGCTCATCCAAGCTTTATTTTCTTACTTTCTCAACTGGCTGTTAATATCAAAGTATTTGTGGATGTGCGGACCGATTCAAAGTTCGAGTTGCTCGATACAAACGAACTAATCAAAATTGTCAGAAACCGAAAAAAAAATAGTAATCAACTTACGAAAATCGTTTCCTTTTGGCTGTTTGAAGAGTGTATTTTAGAGGATATGGAAGCGAATTATCAAGCGCAAAATGAATGCTCCACAGAGCTATGGTAAAAAAATCTTTAACTAACAATGGATTTTTTGCTTTACAACAGTAGAAGTGTAAGGACTGAGGAATGCCAAAGGCAAGTAATGGTTTGGTGATACAATTGCGGAGCAGAAAACTGACCGTCCAGGCTGTCTTGTCCGGCGGCACATTCATCCGCATGCCAGGGTACTTTTCGAAGTTGAAAGGCGCGAATCGCCATAGACGATGACCAGCGATGTTGCGTTGCAGTGTTCGACCCGCGCTGGAGTCAACCGCTGGTGGGATTTGGACGGGATCGGCTGAAGGGTCACCACCACCATCCTCAGTTCCACTGGACTCCGCCTCCGAGCCTGGAGCTCCAGCGGTGATGAGAATTTCCTGGTCCCTGTAAATTCCGTTGATATACGCACATTTTTGAATTTAGATAAGAAAGTTCCTCGTTGGTGCGTGTTTATCGGCCCGTCGTGGCAATCCTTCCCCAGTCACAGTGTTTTGCATCCACCGGAAGTGTCTATTGTTTGACCATTGTTGAAGAATATGGGTAGTTTTGTCCCCACATTTACTGCGGGGAGGGCACAGCAGCTTAGGACTTGTAAGTAGTAAAAATCACTTTTGTTTCTTACCAAGGTTTACCAACGCGATGGAATGTAGGTGTTTGGAAGATCACTAAGACTTCCTTAAAATACTCACAATTATTTCATTCCCAGAACTGCGCCAAAGTGAAATTTGATGACCTCCTAAATTCCAATTAATGTGTCGGAGCCAAAATTTCTGTCCTTTTGTTGTGAAAAAGGCGCAAAGATAGCCACTAGCAGAGCTGGGAGGGAGGCGTATTGCTGACTGGGTGAAAGTCTGGAAGAATTGGCCTGCTGCTGTCAGCAGTCTGAGACCGCAACACACTTCACCAAATACTTATTGTGATTAAAAGTGAGTTTTTGCCACTTTCAAAGGACTGTGCCACCTAAACTTTGGTAAAATCATTTAAAAGTTTCATTTTTTGAAAGTTCTCTTCTCAAAACACTCCACAGTAAATCTTGTGTGGCCAAGTACCTTTGATAGTCGGAACCACTTTTATGGTGCCACGTCTCAATTTCGGTGGAGTGTTGAAGGAAAAGTAATACCAAAAGCTTTATTCATCACTAATCAATTGCCATTCCACTGAAGAAACATAAAAATCCTTCATTGTTTTGCAGAAATGCAGCCACCCTCTACCCATTCCTGAACTGTCCGTCAAATCAATTTGGTAATAAGAAAACTTTTAATGAAGGCAGAACTAAAAATGCGCCTTCAGGGTGGAAAAAGCGATAAGAGAACCCCTGCCTGTCGTGTCTGCGAGTTGGGTAAACAGAAAGGAAGCTTGTCAGTGCCAAGGACTTGACTGACCTTGGTGGGGGAGGCGCCATAGGAGGTGGAGGTGGTGGTGTGGGTGGTCGAAGAACGTCTTTGGCAGCTTCCAGTGCCGACTGAACAGCAACCTCAAGTTTCGTCCGCTTTTTAGGCGATTCACCGGGCTTTTCTTTGCCGTCTGAAGGTCCGGGTTCGTCCACTAATTCAATACACTGGCAAGTTGGCAAGTCAGTGATCTTCTTCATGATCTGTCGTGAGATATCGACAAGGGTTACCAGAGCATACCCAACCACTGTATATTAACATAATGTAATGCTACTTACTGCCTCTTGAGTTGCTGTGACTTGTCGTACAACTTCACCAAGGGAAGAGAGGGTTTGAGTAACCTCGGTAAGACGTGCGTCAACTTCATTAAAGCGCTGGAAGTGTGCATCCAGATCTTTGAAGCGCTTCTCCAGCTCCATTCCTATTCCCTAATGCAAAAGTACGACAACACCAAAAAAGGGTCTAAGCAATAATTTTGGAAAAATATTTTGTCCAAAATTATGCTCTTTTATTCGAACTAATACAAGGCAGCAATGACTAAGCCCTCGAGTAGGGACAGATCTTTCTGCAGCACTTTATCTACCTCATGGTTGATAGGTGCAAAGT